AGACAAAGGAAGTAGGATTTAAACCCAGGACAAAATTGAGCCACCAAAGAACTTCAAACAATCGATCAAAAAGCATGAGCCAGAGCATGTGAGCACAGCGGTCAAAAGTCGGGCATGCGCGAAGGGATCAATTTTTAGCCGCCCACGCGCAAGGTTCCCGCGTAAAATTTCAAAGGAAAACATTCGAAAAAACCACTGTCTCGAAAAATAAGCGAAAGGAAAGTAAAACGTCCATAGAAATCTATAAGATGAAATAGAATAATAGGGAAAAGGAGAAGTAGAAACTTTAGGAACACAAAGCTTATTCAAGTACAGGTATCATGTTGACTTATTATCCTGTATTGAGCTTTACCGAAGAGTCATACATCTTTAATTTAAAGAAAATTGCCTTAATTGTGATGTGTGGTCGTTTGTAACTCGTGCGAGACACGAAATTTAATTTTAATTAATTTACACTAAAGTTCATATGTAAATGGCAGAAAAAGTGATGAAGGCAAAACATGTTGCCCTTTGGTTTCGCATTAATTATCACTTAAAGTTCAGACTATGCTTTTAAATGCTTCGTATTTCGATTCAGTCGGCGAAATGGAAATTCACAGCGATTTTTCGAGCCCTTTGTAAACTTCAATTCTGACAAGCAAACTTTTTCGGCAGTTGTACTTCGCTGACTTTTAAACATGAGAATACCAGAAATCTTCAGAAAACTTATGTTGAAGCTAAATTTGTATCATGGACAACCATGCCTAACGAAAGGTAAAAATCGAAGATCAAAATCATATGCCCGCTAAGTCTTAGATGGCAGTTGTTTTATTAACAGGCCGGAACTGAAGATCAGAGAAAGCCGCCAGTCAACCATTCTCCGAAATGGCGGGAAAAAAAAGCCGCGTTATCACATGCTCTAGCTACTTCCCGTCGTGCAAAAGGCTCGACCAATCTTAACACAGAGAACGGATTGCCGACATTAACATAATTGTTCATTCTTGCGCGAGTGAATGGAGTTAAAGTGCTTTAGTGGTTAGGCTTGACATATGTGAAACTATAAGACATAGAACTTCGTGACGTTCTAACGAAGTTTCATCTCTTAAAAAAATAATTTTAGGGAAGGAGGTTGAAGAATGTATATTAATTACGATGAAAAACTGTAAGCCAAGGTGTAACCATTTTGAGCAGCTGATACAAAGAAACTTTGTGGATCCTCTTTCATGTAAATTGTATCAAAAGTTTGCTCGAGGGAAAAGTATTTAAGAGAATATGTTGAAACAAAAAGGTCTGATCGAATAGCACGATTATTATCAGACAGACAGTTAAAATGCGATAAATTAGATCGATTCGACTTTCCTTTGTTTTCTTGAGACTTTAACAAACAATTTGCCCATTACGTTCTTCATATGGTGATATGTGCCTTGTTTCATTCGACGATTAAGCCAAAAAAAGTAAATGAAATACGCTTGGCTTTTGACACCCATCCATCAAATCTAATATTTTTCTGTAAAGTACGAATACAAAAAAACTGTGTAAACTATTCGTGAAAAATCGCGAAAATATATATATTACATTTTTTTATAAATAAAACGAAATGTGTCCTTTCTGCCAGCCGGACTTAGTGACTGTATTTATTTTGTACATCGAGAACAGCGCTCTTAGGATTTTCCCTCGGTGTGATGAAATAAAGATTTGTAAAGTTCTTGTGTACGATTTCATTACATGCATCCATGCAAATTTTGTTAATATTTCAGTGAAGGCTTTTTTGAAATTTAAACTGGCGATCTTTTTAAGAAAACAGAAAAACCTTTCGCGTCTACTTGAATATTTTGGGCATAATCAAACGTGAAAGTAAATAAATACTTTAGAAAGAGAAAATACAAGAGAATGATCGTCAAAAAAATTTTGACCTGTTTTCGATAATTTACAATATGGCGATTACACTGTTCCGTTCTCTTATTTCGTTATTCTGGATTCGTTCAATTGAATTAATTTTAAAAGGATGAGAACTCAATTTATTCAATGACTCCCTTTTTTTTTCATACAGAATGCGTCTTGAAAACTTGTATCGATAAAATTCATTTCGTATTTGTGTAAATTTACTAATTTCGACTCGCAAAAGCGCTTAGTTTTAAAAACATGAACATATGTTTCTTTCCCGCATATATTTGTGAAAAGATTTATCATTTTGTTAAGCTGCAGCTCTTGCAGTTGCTGTTTTACTGGGATGAAAATTTCGCAATACCTAGTATTGCGAAATAAGTAAACCAGCGCACAATTTTAACCCTGGAGACAGACTGTGGCGATTTCGTTCAAACTTACCTTCTGAGAAAAGAATCCGGTCTATTCCTTGATTCCTCTAAGCTGCTGGAAAGCTCTTGGGGCGGTGATTAATCCTCCGCGTAAGTCAGGTTCAATAAAAATCCTGTATCAAAAAGAGACTTGCATGTTGTGCTCTGAGAAGAAAACAGACGATGGCTTATAAATCCCGATGAGAACACTATTTTGGCGAGGGCCGCGGTGACAGTTCCGTTACCTCATCGAGCTGTCGAACCACTTGCCAGTTCCTTGACAATTTATCATCTGTTGGGCATTGTTGTTTTTGTTTTACTCCCCAAGGCAATCAGCTGGTAGAAACAAAAGAAATGTCAGTATATTTTTTAATTTGAAATGAAGTTCCTTGGAAACAAGTGATTGCCAACTGTATCATTGAAGTCGTGCTAAAAACTTCGTTCCGAATAGAATACTACTGTTGAAAAAATCAGAAATTCATCTTTTTTGTAACCTAAGCAAAGAACGCTTAAAAATTGATAAACACATTTTAGCAATGGTTACCTTAATTATTCTAGAATTTTACAGTATTTTTTGTATGGGATCTAAGATTTATTCATTTGACACTTTGACGCCTTTTACGAAACAAAAACAGCTCTACACTTCCTCATTTGAAACAACTCTTTATGATAAATATAAAATCTTACTCGCAGCCTGGCAAGAAAACTTTTAGGGGATGGTTTAAAAAAATCTTATCTGGTTCCTTAGCAACGAAAATGGATTAAATGACGTCAAGTCGGTCAATAAAATCTAACGCATGTTCAGTGCTATACATATCTGCGAAGTTAGAAATGTAGCACACTTTGGAAACGGAAAATGCTTTCATCGGAAACCCAACTAAACATCTTTTGGCGCATTTCAATGGACCTAAAACCATTCATTCCCAGTTTTGACGAATATGTTAATTTTTGACAAATTTCAGCAGCGAAAAACGCTCCACAAAGGCTGTGAATACAAAATACTTTTAGTACAATAACTTGTTTGAAGTGGTCCAAAACATGTAAAATGGCAATCGAGAAAAGTTCACTCCCCACTTGAACTTCTGACGTAAGTGGAGTAGTTTGATCCAAGGTTCCGAGAACCTGTATGGCTCTTTCGCTGAAGTGATCTTACTGCTTAGGGGCTAATCTCTTCCGCAGTCCTTAAAATGAGATAAATCCACTTATTAGTGGTGTAAATTTTTAGTCTTTGATACATAATTTGAGACACACGAAGCTCTTAATGGCAGGAAACTATATTGCGGGGCTTTTTTATTATTATCGATGACAACATCGTATTTGCACCTGGATGGGATAATCAACACACACACAGACACAGACACACGCAACAATTAAATAAATAAATGAGCAAATAAAAATAAATCATAAATAATAGTAGTGATAATCATGTTAAAGGTTTTAACTGCATGAGCCAGTCACACAAGGGAGTTTTTAACAGGTCAAAGAGAAAGCTAATCAGTTGAAGTACAAATATAAGCTAGAAAGGTCAAGGTAGCGCAAGTTGACATTCATCTCCTCGATTTCAAGAATTTTCAAAAATTTTCAAGAATTTTTTTTTTTCTCAGCAAGACATATCGGTAGCTACCTTTAAGTATTTGAATATATCTCTTCTCGTTACATTTTTATTTCATTTGATTTCTAAACATTTTTACAACATTTTTTCCCAATTGTCAACTTAATGGAGAATGATGTCATTTCTATCTACCAACTTCTGCTCGTAACTTATGCAGTGTCTGGAAAAGAAGCAAACAAAATGATTAGAGGACATTAACCAAACATAAGTATAGATAAAACCAACCATGATTTAGTAAAACATCGAAAGCATACCCACATCAAAAGTCTAGACGCTGGAATTTTAAACATCAGTCTCTAGATCTTCAGTGAAGATGGGGCCATTAGGTTTTATCATTGGCAACTACCCTAGACCCCCTTCCGTGCCAGACCAACGCAGCTTTTTCAGTCAGATACCATAGGAAGGACTTAATTACCTAATAGAGTACAAATTCGATGTTTAGGGCGTAATAGATACAACTTATGTTGAAAAAGGATTGTAGTAGTGCGCTGATCGTCTCATTCATGGCACTTTATGATGGCCAGCAGTTTGAGACTCAATTGCAAATGACAATGTACATGTAGTGTAGAAATCATTGAATGTTAAGAAAAATCCCAGTACTTGGAGATTTTTTTCTTTATTCTGTACAGGGTTTCATTGACGTTTTCAACTGGAGGGCAACTGGTTTTCACAGGGGGGCAAAACTTTTTTAACTAAACTTCTTTATAAGATAAACCTTCCACCAAATTGTCAAACCAGGTGGGCAAAACCGTCCTCACAACCAGTCAATTTGCCTGGTGTCCAAGCCCTTAAAGAAACTGTAATGATGGCCTGTTAATACCCAGATAAGCGCAGATAAACTCAACGGTTTCTTTAATCTACACCAGCGAGCACGCCATGTTACAGCACCATGATTCTTAGCGCACAGATAACTCTATATAACAGGAACGAAATGTCTAAACACTACATTCCCTTTCTTTTTGAAAAGAAACAAACGAATGACAAGTGAAAACCTTAGACGAAATTTAAGTCTATTTAACTTCCAAGAAACAGTCTAAACGGAGTATCGTCTTTCAAAGCTGTTCACTTATCCAGAGTATAAACAATCCTAAGAGTGCAATGTCTTTGAAAATTGTTCACCTATCCAACAGAAAGTCCTTAAACTTGGTTGGCATTCGTACAGTTCGAGATGGTCTACTATTTGGCTCAGTTGTGGTTGCTGTGTCAACAACTGAGGGTGGGACCACACGATCCACTAGGGTTTCAGCACCCGTAGAGTTGTCCAGTTCCTCTGGGGTTTTGTATGGCTTCATAAGTGAACTGTTTCTCCGCTGCACTGTACCACCAGTCGATTTCAAGGTTAGTTCTTGCCCTTCCTTTGTCTGAACAGTGTAAGGATTGGGCTCAAAATTGGCAGCTAACTTTCCAGATAGCTTGGTGTTCTTGGGAAGAACCTTGTCTCCAGGTGCAATCAGGTTGTCGACAGCATGCCGTTGTTTGTCACCAAACATTTTTCCTGCAAGCTTCTGATTCCAGTCACGATCTCTCGTGCTCTCATCCAGAACACTTTTGTTTGGACGTAACCCTGGAAGCTTTGTCTTCAATTCCCTTCCAAACATAAGTAATGCTGGGGTTGCTCCTGTGCTACTGTGAGGGGTGGTTCTATAGGCCAACAAGAATTTATCCAATTCATCTTTCCATTTCTTGCCTTTTACTTCAGCTACCTTGAGTGATTTTAGCAAAGTTCTGTTTTGGCTCTCCACTTCGCCATTAGCTGGGGGCCAAAGGGGTGGAGATTTCCGGTGCTGGATGCCATGTGTAGCGAGGAAGTTTTCAAATTCCTCTGACACAAACTGCGGTGCATTGTCAGACTTAAGGCTGAATGGGTATCCATACCGGGTAAAGATTGGCGTTAACGCTTCTATCATCTTCCGGGAAGTGGTTGAATGCATGATAACTACTTCAAAGAAACGGCTGTAGTAGTCAACTACTACAAGCAAGTTCTCTCCAGAAGGATGAGGACCTAAGACATCAATTGCTACATCTTGCCGTGGCCCAGAGGGTGGTTCTACCCGCTGCATAGGTTCAGGTGCACAAAATTCTCCAACTACTTGACATCCATGACAACTCTGGACCACCAAACTTTGGTTCGCAACCGATTTTTCATCTTCACAATGCCTTGATTGCCTTCATGTGCCAAGCGCAGTACTTCACTTCTGAGGCTTTGGGGAATTATAATCCTTGTTCCGCGCATCACTAGTTTTCCTAGCACACAAAGTTCATTCTTCACACTTAAGTAGTGAGGCATTTTACACTGTGACCAATCACCACTTTGTATGTAGTGCCTAACACTACACAGTTCAGGATCATTCTCTGATTCTCTTTCTACTTCCTTTGCGGTCATAGCTACTGGTGTACTTTCTTGTGCAAGTACTCTAACGAAGTCGGCTTTCTCACCACTGCAATCTTTCTGATTCACAGAATTTAATCTTGAGAGAGCATCTGCGATGTTTGTCTTACCAGGGCGATAGATCACTTTGAAGTTGTAACGCTATAGGCGAAGGACCCATCGTTCTATTCGTGCAGACGGCTTTGAAGACTTGTTGTAAATGTACTGCAAAGGCTTATGGTCAGTCTCCAACTCAAACTCTCGGCCAAAAAAGTACAGCTTGAATCTCTCACGGGCCCATACTAAGGCAAGGCCTTCGTTTTCCGTCTGGGAATATCTCCTTTCCACATCAGTAAGATTTCCCGATGCATAGGAAATTACTCTCCACAGGCCATCTTGTAGCTGGGTGAGGATAGCTCCTATGCCCGTGGGACCAGCATCAGCAACAATGCGTGTCCTGCATTTGTTCTTGAAGTAAGCAAGTGTTTCTGCTCGGGTTAGCAGATCTTTCAGTTTCTGGAAGGATTTCTGCTGAGCATCCTCCCACATAAACTGTTGGTCTTTTCTCGTCAGCGTTCTGAGTGGTTCGGCAACTTGGGAAAAATCTGGCAAGAACTTGGCACAATACTGACCTCTGCGATACACTGTGGAGGCTTGGAATTTTGAACAGCAGACACTTTCTCTTCACTAGGAGCGATTCCTTTACTGCTCAAATCATGTCCAAATAATGTTAATTTTGGAAGTCTGAACTGACACTTCTCATTTAGAGTCAATCCACGTTCTCTAAGACGGCACAGATTCCACATCCATGGATGATTAGGTCGTCAGCAATATTTGCAACTCCTTTACAGCCAATCAACACATCTTTGACGACTTTCTGGTATTTCTCAGGAGCTGAGGTAATTCCGAACATTAACCTCTTGTATTGAAAAAGACCTCGGTATGTAATGAAGGTTGTAATACGACGTGATTCAGTTTCAAGTTCCACCTGGTGGAAGCCCCACTTTAAATCTAGTTTACTGAACACTGTTGACCCATTTAAGTCATGTAGAACCTCTTCAATAGTGGGAATAGGGTGCCTTTCCCTTTCGATCGCCTCCTTGACTCTTCTCATATCCGCACAGACTCGTATGTCTCCATCAGGTTTTCGTACTACCACCAGAGGTGAGACCCACTCTGTTGGACCACTAGGCACTTCCTCGATGATATCTTCTTTAAGCAATTCATCTAGTTTCTTGTCAACTTTGTCTCTTAAACCAAAGGGCAACCTTCTGACAGGCTGTGCAACAGGCTTAACATCATTGTTCACATGCAACTTAAGCTGAAAATTTTTCAATTTACCCACTCCAGAAAAAAAATCAGCAAAGTTCTTAACAATGTCCACAGAAGTTCCTTCACTTGTGATTGAGCATGCTTGTGGTGAGTTTGGAGGTCCAACTCTCAACGCATTCAGCTTCTCAGCTGTATCCTTTCCCAGCAGAGCTTTACCACGACCTTCAACAACAGTAAACTCATCCACACACTTTTCTCCAGACTCTTCACAATGAATTTCACTTTCAAAAGTTCCAARAATCTCGATTGGTTTGGTTTGGCCATAAGCAAACAGCTTTTTTTCACACTTTCGGGATTTGCACTTAACTCCTGTCTGTTTAAGACTCTCCCACGTAGCACGATCCACAATGTTACATGTTGCCCCCGAGTCAATCAGGACATTCTTTAACTGCACACCTCCAACAGACAAATCAACAACACCACTCGAGCCATTACTACTCTTCGTATCCAACACAAACGCATAGTTACTTTCTTCTTTCTCTTCCGAGACTTTATTAGCTCCTTCTGGACGGTGTCTTCCACTAGTTTTCTTAGTTGACTTTGTCTTGTAACAAGCTGCAAAGTGACCACCTTTACCACATTTATTAAAAGTCTTGTCTAATGCTGGAAAGCTCTTGTCCTGTGCAACATGACCAGTTCCACCACACCGGTAGCATTTCCTTTCTTTTCCAGGTTTCTGTCCTTTTGTCCCCTTTTTCTTTGCTTGTCGATCATTCAGAAACAGTTTGTTCACCTGCTCAGGTCTTTCCATAGACTGCATTTGAGTGTTAACAGCTTCATGAATTCTTGCAGTATCTCGCAGCACAGTCAAGGTTACTTCACTTGATTTCTCGAGAAATTTTCGACGAAGTTTTGGATCCCTGCATTTTTCGATGATCTAATCAGGGATGCCTTCATCCACGCTTGGAAACTCACAGGATATAGCCTTCTGGCGCAGACGGTACACAAATTGATCGATAGTTTCCCCTTCTATCTGTTGCATTTGGCGGAAAACATGTCGCTCAAATGGAATATTTACTTTCGGTGTAAAATAGTTATCCAGGACTGCAACGCAATTGTTAAATGAAATATCTTGATCTTCATACACCAAAGTGTAATAAATTTCTTGTAACTCGATACCTCCTGAATGTAACAGCAAAGCTACCTTCTGCCCTTCACTGGTTACTCCTTTCGAGGCTACATACAGGTTAAAAGCACGTTTCCATCGTTTCCATCGAACAGACAACGAATTTGGCTCTCCCTTCGGGTCAAAGCAAGGAAGGCCACGGACTTCCAGGATCTGTTTTGCACTCGCCCCGCCTGAGTTGGTGGACGATGGTGCGCTTGAGGTGCTTTCTTGTTCTTCGGGTGTTCCAGTCGCGGGCATGATTTCCTATGTCACGAATTCAATCTTTCAATTCAATTCTTATGTCACGAATTCAATCTTTCAACACTTGGAAAATTCTCCTCGTCGCTAAATGTAAAGATGGCCTGTTAATACCCAGATAAACTCAACGGTTTCTTTAATCTACACCAGCGAGCACGCCATGTTACAGTACCATTATTCTTAGCGCACAGATAACTCTATATAACAGTAACGAAATGTCTAAGCACTACAGAAACCCCTGTCTATACCACTGGTAGACCATGCAAAGTGAAATAAAAAGAATTTCATCCATGAATGTGATGATTTGATCACCAAATCAATCACAACAGTTAAATGAAAATTAAAAATTAAAAAATTAAATTGAGCCTTTAAGTGCTTTACATTATAATAGAGAGAGAAACAAATATTTCAAATAAACATAAAGTGCTTGAAAATTTTCACTGGAAGGAGGCAGACCAGTTGACCATTAAAAAAGTGCATCCTAGGAGTAGAACTTGGACAATCAGGAACAAATGCCATTGATGAGGAGAAGAGGGTGGAGGATTTGAACCTGGGACCGACAGATTACAAGTCCAGCACCCTAGCCACTTGGCCACCCCACCTCCTCTGTGCTTGGTAAGCTAATCATAAGTTAACACTGGCTTGTTTAGCAAATACTTTTTGCTTCTGAAACGAAATTTCACGATTTTGTCTAAGGTCAATGCTGCAAAGTTGTATGGTTAAGATCAAATTCAAGAGCATCAGATCCAGTTTTTCAGACAATGGAACATGGGAGACAGGAACAGGAAAAGAACATGGTGTGAAAAATTTTGGGGCTCAGTTCCAATTATTTGATGAATATCAGAATGCTAAGTAAACCAAGAGAAAGCACTTGCTATCGCAATAGTAACTAGAGACAACAATGTAGAAGAAACACTTCACGTGGCCAGTGAAACTCTGTTTCAATCAGTCAGTGAATATTAGAAGGCTAACATAGATAGATAACAACAACAGATACCACAGGGTATCCAGTCACTTTGCCCCATGGTCATTTCACCCCAGTCACTTTGCTCCAACCAAAAGTCAGTTCGCTCCATAATCAAAGTCACTTCGCTCCATACAAAAGATACTTTGCTCCATACAAAAATGAACTGTCCGCCAAGCAGTTACTGAAAGTCTGTTCTTACATGAATACACCGAGGGACTAAGTGTAAGCGAACGCAACTGGAAGCTGCATTAGTCAATAAATCTGAACTAACATAAGTTCAAAATCAGTCCAACTCCAACATCAAAACAAAAAGTTCACGACAGTATTTCACTTATTTCTTACATGGAGCCAAGGAGCTTTTACATGGAGGGAAGTGACTTCGATTATGGAGCGACCTGACTTTTAGTTGAAGCGAAGTGTCCGGGGAGAAATGACCATGGGGCAAAACAGATCCTAATTCTACCACAGAATGCACTTGTAATCCTAACCAGCCCTGGTGACAGGAATGGGAAGGAACATGCAAAGAAAATTTTTGAGCTGTGTTTCTATTACTTGATGAATATTAAAAAGCTAAAGAGAACCAAGAGAAAGCACTTGCCATTGTAATACAAATTGGCATCAGGAATGGGGAAAGGAACCTGCTGCACAAATGTTGAAGCTGTGTTCCAAACAGCTGGCAAATATCAGAAAGCAAAAGAGTGGAATGGGAATGAAGACGGAACAGGCTAAGGAAACCTTGGATAAGAGTGTCAATCACTTGGAGATTATCAGAGAGCTAGAAAAAAATAAGAGCAAGCATTTGCCATTGCAAAATAAATTGGTAAAAAGAAATGCAGAAGGAACTTGTTCCAGGAACCCTCCATGAGGACTCGTGTTTCAACCGCTTTTTTTTAGAATTTTAGAATTTAATTTATTCGCCACGGGAATGGCAGGAGAAAGTAACAGAACTTTCGTCCCAATTGACACCCAACCCCTTTGTAACCCACCCATCCAACCCCAGGGGAGGACATCCATCACACGGTAATCTCGTGCGTGGGAAATTAACGTCTCCTACCCCTAACCCTGCAGGAGACGGGACCTCCATTTAGTCGTCCCTATCAGAGAAGACTAAAATATCTAACCATTTCTTGATGTTATAGAAAGGTAGCGTATTCTACCCAACCGCTTAGTGAATATCAGGCTAACCAAATATTTTCAAGCAGAGAGTTCATGAGAAGAGAAAGAAATATAATGTAGGGGATATTTGTTGATCTAGCAACAAAATTCTCAAAGCATTTTATAACCCTTCGAATAAGAACTGTAAGATTACCTTCTTGATTTGGAGGTTTCCTTGGCTTGTTTACACTTTCCCCAAGGGCAACTTTACATCAGCTGTTTTCATGTGTTGTTTTCTACTTTTGAGTCATCATCGGTGATAGACCCATCCAAATCTACCTTTCCTGGCCGCAATTCCGCTTATATCAAAATCGAGATGACACTGGAGATGGAAAAATCAATTGATCGGGACAATGTTTTTAGAGAGCTGTACGTACGTACGGTCTATAGCTGGGCAGCTGAAGTAGGAACAGCTCTCAGAATGAACAAACTGTTGCTCTACAAACATTACGACAAGTAGCGAATAGCGAATTCTTTGCTTCAAAAGGAAACTCATGACGCAGAAACAGGAGTTGGAGAACCAAAACATTTCAAGATTGACCTTGCCACACGATTTGTGCGGCCATTTTGTTTCGCTGTCTCTATGTCCGGCAGCCGGACAGTGTTTTCAAAATACTCCGTGTCCGGCAGTCTTTCTTTTTTAATTTTCAGTTAATAATAGCACATCCTTCTTTATATGGCCGAAAAGTTCGCTATTTTCACCGTAGTATGAGTTTTTGTGAGCTCGGCAACCACTATGCCGGTATTGATAACTTTGAAGCTCGCCGCGAGCTTCCGGACAGGAAATTGAAAATACTTCGTGACCGGCAGTCGAATATTTTCCCGAATATTAAGTCATTACACTAAATATATTCGAGCTATACCATCCTAGGCGGTGTTATTGTTGTTTACATGCATGGCTAAAGAGCACGATTACCAGTTTTGAAACTGCCGTGAATTGTGGTGTTTTCCACGAGCTTCCGGACACGAAATCGTAAATACTCCGTGTCCGGCAGTGAAATATTTCCCGAATAGTAAGTCGTTCTACTTAGTATATTCGAGCCATAACAGTTGACAGTTACTCGAGTTTCACGCACAACACGATGAGCTTATGTTTCTGTTTCACTCTACATGTATTTTTATCAACACATGTTTATGTTTTAGATACATACATTAAAATGTATGTATCTATTTACAGGGAAGTACGCAGCCTGGCAGGGTGGTTTGCGAGCGCCAGAGTCCGCGGGCATGCCCCTTGAAAATCTCGAAGAATCATGTTTTAGTCCGCATTCCTTACATTCTGAGGTCTCATTACATCATATGTTTTCTAATAGTTTCTCTTTTTTAACATTCACTCCCCCCTAACCCTTTGTGGCCAGTGGGGGAGGGAAGGGGGTTCCAGCAGTCTCGTATATAAAATGGTGTAGCTCGAATCTATTGGGTGATTTCCAGTCCGTACTGCGCAGTCTCAGCACCCTAATGTTTATAAACATTATAAGTCTCACTTGATGGAATGCGAATCAATGTTATTCAGAACGAATGACATATACCTTGTCTTTCAGTCCTTTCAGTTTCTTTTCCCAACACCTTCATTAATTTTTACAGCTGCGAAGTTGCGAGGGAGCAGGAGTGGTGCAATGGTGAGAGCGCTCGCCTCCCATCAATGTGGCCCGAGTTCGATTCCTGGACCCGGCGTCATAAGTGGGTGGAGTTTGTTGTTGGTTCTCGTCCTTGCTCCGAGGGTTTTACTCCGGGTTCTCCGGTTTTCCTCCCTGTTAGGAATGTCATGATACCTGTAAGCACGCGTTACGTGCCTGTCCTGTTCTCGGGAATCATGGGATTGTAAGACATGTGTTCGGAAGTATGTAGTTTTGGCTGGACAGATGTGGATTAAAGAATTTGTTGAGTTTTATCGAATTTTTGATCCTTGTGGCGACCTAAACCATACAACCTTTTCCCAACACTCCCTCCACAAAAACCATCAGTTCTAAATTCTAATTCGATCTTAATGCACGGACACGTTGTAACGAGCTCATGAGAGCCTCCCTTTTTCATCAAGCGACATGAGAAAGATGCGGTGGACATAAAACTTTGAATTTACCTCATGTAAATAGTTATAAAATGTTTTACATTTTTTGATGTCTTACATGAAACATAGACGAAGTGACTTGGAATAACATTTGACGATAAAAACTTGCGACAAAACGTTGGTTGATAACATTGTAAAATTTAAAAACGATAAAAAGCTATAGAAAGCTAAAATCGACGACGTTTCGACGTTAACATAACGTCA